AAGAAATTCATACAGGTTTGGAATTCAATTAAATTCAATTCAAGTTTATTTGTATAGCGCTTTTCACGATACAAATCGTTGCAAAGCAACTTTACAGCAAATTAAGTTTCTACAATATTTAGTGGTAGCTTATCAGTGGTGACTGTCAGTTAATGTACATATGGCAGAACTGTACAGAAAAATCAATTAAAGACGTAATCAAACAGACGATGAACACTATTAACAGCAATTATTATATGATGCAATCAAACTTATAGATGGAATAACTGTACTGTAAACTGTACTGTAACTGTAAATCCTGAACTGGCATGCTATGGCAAAGTGCAAGAGCCATAATTATCTCCCTCTTATATAAGACGTCATATCTGGTTGATGAAATCAGCAGGACTGACAGTAAAATATATGGCTCTGTCTCTTAATGGATGATTTCGGTGACAGTCCTGGAAGACACATATAGGAGGGAGCCAGAAACAGCCAGATGCAAAACTTGGTACATGAAAGTTCTACATCCTCACCACATCAGAGAAATTCTATCACACACATGTAAATTCCTCACAGCTAATGAGATTAATTCATTTGTGAAATCTAGAGTTATTTAGAACCGGTTCTATTAAACGCGCACTGAATCTGCAAATTCACTCTTATTTTAGTATTATTGATGTACTATTATAGTATTTCAATGATTACTATTTTGAATTAGTTCTTCTTTCATTTTTGTCATTATTAGCTTTTTTATATTTCTATTTAAGGTTATTTTTAGATTTTAGAATTTTTAGATATACTTCAACCAATCCACTGTTAAAAAAAAAATCAAACTGCATTATGACCAATTCTGAACTGTAGCACATTAAAGAAAAAAAAGAAAGTACAACACTTTAGTACAATACTCCCATAAGCAGAACTCAAGCAGAGGCAACTGGTCCCAAGAGCGTGCCCATTTAGAGAGATAGAGGGTGGGCATATCCCTCCTCTGAGAAATCAGGGCTGCGCCTCACGCTCCTGCTGTGCTCACTAGGGTGAGCGACAAGAGACCTGTGTGCTTCCTTATTACAAACCGCTACAAAAACATATGCACCTGCCTTTCAACAGGTAGTGAGGGGAGAAACCAGTGAGACTTAAGACTCTAGAGTCTTTAACCAGGAGCTCAATGCTTTGAAGTAGCGCTGCTATTTCTTCCAGTCCAAATACACATCTTTCTATGTAAATTAGGATTATTTAGTCACCTTATTCACAAAACTCTTCACTGTTCGACTTGCTGAAAGTGTGCGTAGTAGTTATCGTTCTTAGTGTGAACGGGCCTTTAGCATTTTAACCGGTCTTTTGAATGGCTTTGATATGAGATATGAGGGTTGCTCTAATGACGTACTAACAAATGAATGGAACATAGTCTATTTGAAATCTTTGGCCACACACTATAAGTGACACCATCAACCTTTGAAGATCAAACAGAATATTCAGTAAAGGCACTACCTCTTGAGAAGAACCGTTAGGAACCGAACACGGCATTAGACATTGGTTTAAAGGCCGGCTGTGGCCTATCAAAACCTTAGAAGTGGTCTGTGACTGGCTTCTACCTCCGATAACCATCATAAAGTGTTTTAAAAGTCAAAGAGTGTAATTTCTGCAAACGGGAAAAAACCTAAACGTTTTCACAAAGGTTTCCCAAACACTCCCTCTGTCTGCCATTGGTTAGCCAAACGGATAGCAACGCCCTAAACTCACACCATTGGTTGATCCAATGTTGCTGTTGCCAGGCTGGTCGAGCTGCTCAAACAAACAGAGAGCAGAGTTTAAAAAAAGAGTCACTATGTTTACACTTTTCCAGATAGGTAACTCTCTATATTATGCTGGGATATGTATTGTAAAATATCCTTAAAGGAATAGTTCACCCAAAAATGAAATGTATTGGACCCCAATGTTATTTTATTAAAGTATCTTATTTTGTGTTCCCCAGAAGAAAGAAAGTAATGCAGGTTTTAAACAACATGAGTGTGAGTAAATGAGGACCGAGTTTTTATTTTTGGGTGAACTATCCATTTAATTATAGTGCCGTAAAATGTAAACCAGGAACCCAAGGGCTTTAGGACCTAGGAGCTGAAATTCTCGAAGCTGACTGGGAAGTGCCCTTACTGAAAAGGCTATTTTAACTGCAACGGTTTCAAATTATACACGGTCATGTTACAGCACAAAATTTTGAGCCCAGCCTAGCAACCCACATCTTGCATAATCAGAAACAGATCTATATGGCTTCACTCCTGTTTTGGCTGAAGCTCAGGACATAGTAATCCTGACAGCTCGTTTCATGATGTGCTCGGCCTGAGTTATTGATTCCTGTCACATTAACAGGAGTTCTAGAGTGGACTCGTATCGGGGTTTGTAGGGTTTGTAGGCTTGACACCTGCTAAAATCTCATTCAAAAAAGTTGGTGAAGAAGCATGCCAACAACAGAGCATAGGGCACTAAACCTGCGGACATAATTAAATGGACTTACAGATCAAAAACCAACTTGTTTGCTTGGATTTCCATCCTTGATTTATCTTGATGACTATAGGTTAATGTTTTAAGGAATGTTGCCATTAAAGTAATAGATCCCCCCCCAAAAAAAAAACAGTGGCTGAAAACGTACTCACCCTCAGGCAATCCAAGATGTAAATAAATTTGTTTCTTCATCAGAACATATTTGGAGAAATTTGGCTTTACATCACTTGCTCACTAATGGATTCTCTGCAGTGAATGGGTGCCATCAGAATGAGAGTCCAAACCGCTGATAAAAACATATCAATAATCCACAAGTAATCCACATGACTCCATCAATTAATGTCTTGTGAAGTGAAAAGATGAGTTTATAAAAAAAAAAAATCCATCACTAAGATTATATCCTTTTAATCCATCATTATATTGCTTTCTCCAGTGAAAAAGTCGTCTCATCTGAATTAGGAGAGAAATATGCACAGATCAAGCAACTTTTACAGGCCAAAACAGTTAAAAGAATACATCAGTGGATTTTGATGTAAAAGGGAACAAGGGGATAGACTTTTTCACTAAAGGAAGTTATGGATAATGGACTCATAACTTGGCCAGAACCAATGGTTTAAAGTTAAACCGTTGTTTCTTACAAATATGCAGCTTTTCGCTTCACAAGACATTAATTGGTGGACTGGAGTCATGGATTACTGTGATGATTTTATGGACTCTCATTCTGATGGCACCCATTCACTGCAGAGGATCCATTGGTGAGCAAGTGATGTACTGCTTAATCTCTTCAAATCTGTTTCCAAGCTACACTTGGTTGGCCTGAGAGTGAGTACATTTTCTTTTCTGGGTTAACTATTCCTAACGAGGATATGAAAAGAAAAACCTTTGGTCTTCCAATAAATTTGTAAAAATTTTAAAGTAAATCACATAAAAATACAATTGTTTTTACGCGAGATAAAACATGCTGAGAAGACGAACATCCAAGAAGACGACATCTAAAAAAAAAATAAACTGCTTAATCTCTTCAAATCTGTTTCCAAGCTACACTTGGTTGGCCTGAGAGTGAGTACATTTTCTTTTCTGGGTTAACTATTCCTAACACTCTCACTGCTGGATCCCACACCAATAAAATATATTTAACACATGTAAAAAATAAAGCAGTTGAACAGGTAGGCGTTTCAAAAGAAATGCAAGAATGTCTACACTCCAGAACGACTGCATTTCCTGACTCTTTCTTGCCCAGACTTTACGAGGCATTACGAGACGGGCAGCACCAGCTAAAGAGGTCAAAGAAGCTGAAAAGTACGATATGTGTGCAACGGCAAATGCTCTGGAGTCAGAATAGAGCCAGACTAATAATGTAGCCTAATATCTGAACACACAAGTGACTAGCGGAGTTGACATTGATAAAGGTCTTGCCGTCCATGTCTGGTGTATTTGATCTATGACTACTGACCCCATGTGTCAGTAAACATATTGAACGATAAGCTGCATCCATCAAGAAAATTTCTGCATTATCAGCAAATGTGAACGATAGTTCAGGTTTAACCGCCCTCATACATCACATTGATAAAAACTGGCTTTCAACTAGATGCACTGCAGAACATCTCACTGTACATAAGTGAACTTTTTATCACTTACTTTCATGCATGGTAGCCAGGATTTTAGCTGCTACATTTGATGAATATTTCATCACACATCCACACTAGTTTAATACAGCAGCACTGGGAACAGATGCCGTATAACTCTTGCTTTGTGGCGGGTTATGAAAGAAAGATATGACTTAACCTGAGGCATATGACTTATCCACAGGCATTATTAATAATATAT